GGCACAGCCCCCATCCCCCCTTTGGCTCCGCCACTGATTGCTGGATGCTTTCTTCAGTGTTGTTTCTATTTTTCTTTATACTGTGTAAGACCCTCTTTCCCTTACTTTCTAAATCTGGGTCGCACACACTGAAAGTGCTTTTAAGTTTGCGGTTTACGAATTAAAGGTCGTATATTTACATTTTGTGTAATCAGTCCAACAACAATTGGCGCAATCATACCAGGAATAGTAGCGAACGTATTCGTTATTCCAAATAATTCACCAGCATATCTGAAACAATGATCATAGTTGTAAAGATATACAATGAGAGCTGACACTGAGATTCAACATTAGGAGTCGACACTGAGAGATTATACAGAGAGTCAGCACTAAGAGTCTACACTGAAAGCCAACACTGAGAGCTAACACTGAAAGTCAACATCGAGCGCCAACACTGAGAGTCAACACTGAGAGTCAACGAATGTCAACAATCAAGAGCCAATGAGAGCTTACGTGACACGGATGCAATCCGAACGTTATTCGTGGAATTGGCGGAAGATTTTTCTAGTGAGACAACAGTTCAGGTGAGAGCTCTCGTCTGCAGTGAAATCAGTAGTGAGAATGTTCCTTCGACAGCCTCTCGAAGCAGGCGGCTCAGCTATAGTTCCTTTCGTCTTCGACATGCTTTAGTAATCAATAATACACTAAGAACAAGTCGTACGAAAAAACTGAAGACTAACCTTGGTGCAAAATCAACATGATTAATTACATAGCCAGATCTATTTAAACCAGTAAATATCATAGACAGTGATAACAATCCAACTGCTAGATGTCTCAGTTCTTTAGTAACAAACCCAACAGCTACCAGACTACATGACTGACCAACAAACGCTATAGATAAATAATAAAAAAAGGAATGATAATTTAATGCTCTGATATCTTGGGAGTGACAAATTTTAAAGGTATACTACCTCTTAGGATGACCAAAACATTGAAATTTTTAAACTGTGTTAAAATGGGTAAAACGTATCTGGTTTCATAACTATACAAAAGAATCCCATTATAATCTAATAAATCCATAAAACTAAGTAATAATTTATTAAATTAAGCACATGTTTCAATAATTATTGAGTTTAATCTATCGTGTTATATAAAGATTCTATTCTTTGGCCAGGGTACCTGATAACAGTGGCAGGAGCAGGTTTACGTCTAGGGGCCAGGGACCTAGTCATGAGACCCAGTTATGAGAGTTTTGCAAAACTCTTCGTGAGAAACACTATTTATATTGTTTTGGCAGAGTATTTTCACTCTTTCTAGAACACATGATACTACCCCCTGAGAGGTCCACTATTATTCAATTCAATTAACGGGTAGTGTCTTATGTACTATTTTCACCCGATTTTGGATGAGATTTTCGGCTAAAGGATATTCTATGTTTGTATGGATTTTATTATTTTGACGTTTCAAAAGACACAATTTTTTTGAATAATTTATAAGTGTATGATAATCGATACGTGTAACTTACATATAATCTGTACAACTCTGCGGACAGTAGTGGTGTTGACACCTCGTCTGATAAAATCCACAATATGTCCACTTACAATTGCTGACAGCATGGTGCAGAGATATGGTACAGCTGACAGAAACCCATTCTATAAACAGAACAAATACAAATATCCTTGAATAGGTCGGTAGGCCATTGGTAAGGTCAAGTAGAAAGAAAACGTAATTGCTTTAATAAAGGGACTTCAAATCCATGTGTGTCCAGAATTATCGCGTTTGAAAGTTAAGAAGACCAGTCCTCTTTTCTTTATACACTGTCATATATAGAAAAGACAGCTATATAGAGATATGAAAAGAAATTCCTAGTTTGAGACATTTTTGAAGGAATAAATATGCGATTTTTGTACATTTCTAATACTTCTAAAGACTATTTAAATATATCCAAGATTCAAATCAACCTCCCAAAATGTCGGACTTGTCCCTTTAAGCTCTTGTGGTATATTTATCGCTCTGAAATCAAAGGTTCTTTTAACACGTATTTCACAAAGTTACCGGACTGTTTAAATTCAGGAAACAACTTAGTTAAGGTGACTCTCGGGTATCGTTCATGATAAATTTTCATGAGATTAACAATACACCAAGGTTGGGGTTTACAATATTAAACTATACTTAACCCTACAAGAAAGGTAGGTACTGAGTTGTATTAACTTTAGATACAATTCGATAAAAGATAACACTCCACTCAAATATATGCTACAGTTAACCTTGTAATCTGCAATATATTGTTACAAGAAACAGACTCTTACCTGTTTTATATCGAACTCCAGAACTTCTCTCATAAACAGTGGTAAACTAGTCAATAAAGTATAATTTGTCCAGTTATTACATGCATGAGCTGTTATACAGGCTAACACTGCCGGAGATTTAAACATTTTTATCCATGGCGTTTTGGTTACCTTAAAAATAAATGTAAAATGCTAGCTTTAGCTTCATCTGGAAAATTTAACATCAATGTAGCAAACGGTTAAGCACCGAAAGTCAAATTAAATTAATATAGAATGATGCATTTAGGGAATGTAAATCATACCGATTATATTGCCTCACGTCAGTTCAAGTTCAGCTCCAATGCCACCAATATAGCAAACAATTGTTCAAATTTTACTTGAAGCCTGTGATGTTGTCTTCCATTCAGAAACAATGTCATTTCGGTAAAAACTCAACAACAGCATTTAGAATTCCTGCGTATTCTGGTAATGATAATAAAATGTATGACCTTAGCTTGAGGTTTATATCCTATAGCATCTTCAATATATCTTCGTTCACTTGGTGTTATTCTAGGATGTTCTTGAGGTGTATCACTGACGAGAAAATACCATGTTATACACCATAGTACACCAGCTATACCTAACAATCAGCAACAGAATATCTCCATTACTACAGACTAGCATGATTTATCCTCGCATCATTTTAGTTATAATCATGTGTACCCTTTGTTTTTCACTTTCCAATCCCTCATCGTCAATCAACTTTCCGTGACGTATATTGTGAATACTTAGATAGTATGATCACGTATATTGAAAATGTTGATTCGAATTCTTTTTGGATTGAATGAGTCAAATCCATGTTAACTATTTCTTGGTCAATTCAGGGAGGCTGGAATTAGGTTATTTCACGAACAGAAATATACTACACTGGGCAAAAATCTAATTGTCAGGAGTTCAAATCAAAATTAGTTGATTTCTAATAGAATTTAATTATTAAAACGAAAGGTAGTTGAAATAGTTAGAATGAATAGACTGAACCCCCTTTCATTAGATACATACCAGTTAAATAGAATATTGATCCCCAACCATTATCAAAACCATAAACACACAGTAAACCTGATACAGAGTATGTTAATATAACACCTATGGATGGACCTATAATAATATATAAGCATAAGCGTACATAAGACTTTCTCCTTGAGTTAGATTCATGCACTTTCAAAATTTTCCAAAAGTTGGTAGTTTCAGAGTCGGCAAAATCAATATAAATCCAATCATTTCTTATAATAGTAAGACGTTTGATTTTATTAGTTTCGCTTCGTTTTGACCAAGTGTTGTACAACATTTATGTAAATCCAGAGGTGAGGGTTTTAAAGATTCATCTTCTAATAAATTACCTGCATAACAAAGACCCATCAATTTTGATCTCTCTAACGGAGGTGCCCAGCGACCCCATATAGAATGCATGGCAGGAAATGACACACCCTGAAATTGAACAGGGATATAACTTGTTTTCGGAAACAAAGTTTCTGACATTGATGGACATTATAGATGATTGTCTATAAACTATAAATAAGATATAAAGGTTCCAGCCTTAATTCAATCGATATAGTACATATTATCGTAGAATCGTCTGATATTTTACCCCATTTACTCTCTGTCAATGGAGCAAGGCGTTGTTCTACACTCCATATTCAACTTTTCAATTTTATTGAGTGAATTTCCCTGCGGTGGCCATAGTACTGACTTTATTTCAGGTTTCCATGAAAGTATGGGCATGGGTCATTTGGGTCAATACTTACTGCAGCTAATCCGATGATGAATCGGACAGCAAATAATGCATTGACATGAAGCCTCGCTAAAACTGGAGTAAGAAGTGTCCCAACAGAACTGACAAATGTCATGTATCCTAAAACACGTTTGCCGCCGAATCTGGTAGCTATCCATCCGCCTGGTATTTGAAGTATGATGTAACCATAAAAATACATTGCTAATAAACTAGATCGAAGAGGTTTGGGCCAATCAAATTCACCCTGAAATTTAAAATGGATTATAATGCATGTGCAAAATGTTCCAATCCTCGAAAACTTGGAAGAGAATCAAGTGGGATCTTGTGGTTGATTAGAGAACCATCAACTGACTGCATAACGAAATCGAGAAACTGTACTACTGGAAAGGAGTGAAGCCGATGTGTGAGCATGTCAAGCGTTGGTATGTGTTTGGTAGCTTTCAGAAGATAGGTTCTCTTATTTTTATTTATGAAAATGAAAATTCTAATACATATATGAATAGAAAATAGAGGTGGTCTAATGACATGGAAAAATACCAGTTTGTCTCACATGTCCATAATTAATTCATAATCAGCTAAATTAGAAGCAGAATTCCAATGATTGACCGATCAAAAGGTCAAAAAGTCTTTTTTGTCTGTACAGACTGTACAAACATGGACATTTATGATTGGATAAAACTCAAAGTTATATGCAATGATAACATAATTATATGATTAAGAATACATAATAATTCATTAAAAACACCAATTAATCAATTAATTTCACACTAAAAAATAAGGAACCCATCTTTAAATTATGTGAGATAACTGTACAAAAGAAATCTTTTTCAGCACAATAGGGAAAATAACTGCTATAATCAAGGCAGAAAGCTACATCTATACGGTCGATCCGGTGCCATTTGGTTTTCAGCTGACATGCACTAACGTTTTCTTAAATTACTGACTTTACCTGACCTCTGGAAATAAATTTTTCTGGGGCCAGTCAGATGAACTGTAACTGCCTAATACACCTATCGGATGGTATGTAAGATTCATAATGTTTTCGGTTACTTCTGGTGGCTTATCTGATTCAAATAAAAACCACAATGCTAATGCTATACCTGGCTTTGTTGCGTTGTTGTGTAATTATTATAGACTGTTTGGTTAAATATGGTTGATATATTCGTGTTTTGGTTTGAGCTGCCACCAACCATACAAACGATTCCAACACTGAAATCTACTCGTATAGCATACACCATCATAAACCCCCAGAAACCGACATACGACAGGATCCATCGCTGGGATAGGAAACATGGAACTAAACAAAGATTTATGCAAAATGAAATATAAACACAACGAAATAATAGTTTGTATAATCAGAATTATTCAGATCCACAATATGTATGTATAGGCTACATCGATCTGTAACTTCTGTAAGTCGTAGTTCTGCTCTATCGCTAGATCCTGCAATTTTCGTAGACCCTTCTACTGGTTTAGCATACTTTTGGTGGAGTACGACTCGTCATATCCGCAGCATCGCCTTTATAGAAAATGGACGACTACATTTAACTGCAAATATCTAGTAAGTCAGAGATTTGAACCGCTCAGGTTCACTACCTGTAGGCTCGATCAGATAGCAGAAGACCAGCAATTGTTGACAACAACGTCGATGCGCTCAATTCGACAAAATCATACATTGGCCAGTTAAGGAAATTTTGTAATTTGAAGTCATAAAATGTTTACCGTCATTTGAATCCTTCGCCATCTTTCCTCATTAGTATAATATTTACAATTATAATATATTCATTAAGGTAGACAAAGTTTAGAGGGTCATTTTGATAAGGCAATAGGGTTTTGATAAGGGACTTTATATTAAAGGGACAGGTGGGTCATTTTATGACAGATAATACTTCAGTCTCAGAAACCGGATTTTATTTTTAGCTAAGCCAATCAGTAATAGTGTTCACAGTACACAGTCCAAATTTGAGCCTTCAAATCAATGTGTTTTCAGAATTATCCGCATTTGAATGTTAAATTGTCCACTCGTCATTTCAAGATACTCAGTGATATATATATATATATGCAAAAAGTTAGTAGAATTCCTAGTTTGAAGTATTTTTAAGGAATTATGCGATTTTCGGACATTTCAAGTACTTCTTAACACTATAATATATATTCAAGGCTAAAATCA